AGAGACAGAGAAATGCAACACATGAGATATCTAGCTCATAGAAAGAGCTCAATAAATATTATTTTAGTGTTACTGTAGTTACCTCCTGGACTCAAATTCTTTTATGTGTTACTCTGGATAAAATAAAAGTTGTAACTGGGAGTCTGAAAAAGATTACCCAGATAACTGAGAATTGAGACCAATTTTTCATGTAATTTTCCCCATATACCCATTTCAGGTAAGTATTATTATGATGACAGGAAATCACATGATTAAGGAACAAAAGATTTCTAAGATGATGGTTATGCATGGTGCTTTCAAAGCCCCCTTTAATGTCTGATATAGCATAAGAGTTCGGTAAAGACTTTATGAACTAAACTGAAGGGAAATGATATTATGTCTAAGGTAATCTTGAAGGAGGCTCAGCTTTTTTATATCAGAATACTCTTAATCGGGAAGTAAGTGAATCTGTCATACGTCACATTCTACCCTCTGATGACTGGAATTACGATATGGGCCCAGGGGATTGTTATTATTACTATGAATAATCTTTATTGAGAACTAGAGATCTGTTTGAGAACTAGAGATCTGTTAGATACTGTCAAGAATATGTGTCATTGTCCAGAATTAGACTTAGACTCTGTGGAGTGGTTTTCTAATCTAATTTTGACAAACTTGGAAAAGTTCCCCAGTAATCTGAGGGGAGGAGGCAGGGAAGGAAAGTTCATGGCGGTGGTCTCTGTCCTAGATAAATTTAGTCTTGGTTAGCCAAGGAGAGGACTCTTGCACAGGCAGAAGTAAGGCTCAGTGTCTTCCCAGTTTTGGTCACCACAATTATACAGCAGGAGCCCTTAGGCGAGGTTCCTAGCAGACCCAGCTATTGACATTCAGTGTGGCCCCCAAGAGTTGCTCAAACTCTCTGTACATTCTCATTCTTTTCAGCACCCCAGAAGCACCAGCCCCCATCAGCTTGGCATTTGGTGTTTCAGATGACCCAAGTGCTGAAACTCAGCCACTGTGATTGTTTTTGTAAACTATGTACAACTAGGTATTAGGGCACAGTCTTAAGTACAAAGGGAGTTGGGAGTTGGAGAGGAATTCTGAGAGTAAGCAGGGGAATAAAATGATGCACTTTGTCTTCAAGGAGGGCAGGGTCATGTTAGCGAGAATGCATGGCTAATAACAGAGCAAATAATTTTCAATGTATGTGTGAAATGTGAATGACTTCACTGTGTGGCCTAAAGCCCAGCTTCTGACACAGGAAGTCACAGAAATCGTCATCAAATACTGTTAGGCAGGTTGTTACATGTGGAATCAACAGAAGAAAGAGAATTTTCAGCCTCCCCTATGGTAGCTTCTCATTCATTCATAATATGCCTTCTTAAGCAGACAGATGAGGGTACAGTTATATCAAGTGTGCAGGAAAGTACCTGTCCCCTGCAGCTCCTATAGCTTATGCTGAGGTCATTACTGAAGGATTGCTACAAATGTGGAGACTGCTGATTGTGTGATCCTTTCTAGTCTCAACTCCATGTGAGGGTTGTCACACTAAAATCTATCCTCACGAGCAAGCCACATACTGAGCACAGGTTAACCTATGGACTGAGAGCTGCTCTAGGCTGCGAGGCATAGTCTCTATAAAGCCCTCCACAACCTGTTCCTGCCTAGGTGGCCTCACTGCTCTGCTCTTGGTACCTTAACTTCATGCTAGTTCTCATCCCAGGGAATTTGTTCATGAAGTTGCTTTCATCTGAAATTCCCTCAGCTCCCCCATCTCCTGCTCCTACTCTGCAGTTCCGCAAACATCACATATACCGAACTCCGACTTAACATTGCTTCCTCTGGAAAGTCTTTTCTACCTACTGCTCACACCCAGTCTGGATCAGTGTCTCCTATGCGTTTGTATGACACACTGCACTTCTGTCCTGCACTCATATTTGGCTGATTTTGAATCCCCCATAGGGCAGTGCGTTTTTTCACTTTTTATTTTTGAGACTCTCCAACTTTCAGCGTAGAACTAGCATAAGAAGATGCTTAGGAAATGTTTGTGAAACTGATCTGAATTTATTTTTCTACACCCTTTCCTCTAGCACTCCATATGGTGCAGGTCATATAAGGAAGCACAATAAATATATCTTGACTGCATAAAAGCTGACTCCTGGCCTTATCACTAAACAGCAGAGTTGTGTCTCAAATCACTCAGTCTTGCTGGTTTAGCAGGAATTTGTGGAGTTCTAAAAGCTAACCTAGGAGTCAATGAGCTAGACCCTTGGAGGAGAGATGGAGGGAAAACTGCTGGCATGCATCAGATTAGACCAGAAACTGGGATGGATCCCTGGTTCTGTTGTCCATTAATCAATCTTTTTTTTAACTTTATTTTTGCAGTAGTAGAGATTGAACCCAGAGCTTTCATCTGGTAAGCTACATGCAGTAAACTACATTGACAACTCTTTTTAAAATTTTTTGAGACAGGATCTTGCTAAGACACTAAAATTTCCAGGCTGGGCTTAAACTTGAAATCCTCCTGCCTCAGCTTGCTAGAGTTCTGTGATTACAGGTAGTCTTTTTTTTTCTTTATTTTTTAAAACAAGTCTTAATCTCAGCAAAACAGGGTCAATGACATTCACTGCATAGAGTGCTGATAAAGATTCATCCACTGAATAATAAAATTGAACATCTTTAATACTGAAAATATTCAGTCTTGAACAGAACAAATATAGTACTGTCCTCAATGAGTCCACAAGTGAATATTAGAGAAGCCCATTTTGAATAGTGTAAGGTTTTATTTTATTGGTAGACTTAAGAAATATTTGAACCTCCTTAGAACCACTATGCGGTCTTACTGCTAGACCAAACATTTTCTTCAGTAACTAGGGAAACATGTTATGTACCTAGTAAGAGAAGCTAACACAATGGACTTTTGACTTTGAGAAGTTAACTTCTCACTTGAGGAGAAAGATTGTTAAATCCTAGAGGGACGGAATCATGCCAGATTTTGTTAATTTTAATAATGTGCGTTTTGTTTTTTAGGCAGGAGGTCACTACATATTCCAGGTCACCCTTGAACTCACAGAAATTCTCTTGCCTCAGCCTCCCACCTGCTGGGATGACAGGTGTGCATCACCTCACCCAGAAGATTTTGTTAATATGTATTACTTAGGGTTTAACTTTTGTTAAGCCTACTACCACCTCAGTATTGTTCTTAGACCTCAGACCTTGTACTCTGAATGGTGGTAGGTACATAATAGAAAATTCTTAAAAGTACTTTGTCTTTGGCTTATAGGCAAAAATTGTTGGATAACAAATTGAAGGCAGCATATAACAAAGAGAATGTATTCTACAAGCTGGATTGTACTGTAACTTAGAGCCCAGGAAATATCCAAGAGAAATGAAGTTAATTTTTCCATTTCATCCTACATCTGAGGGCATCAAAGGAAGAGGTTGTGGCTGTGAGTTTACTACTAATTGGGTTGTTTTACAATGATGTAGGCATCTGGATGAGCATTGGGTTGGGAAAGTTGGTGCCTGAGTTATATTTCTATAATTCAAGAAGCCAAGGCATGACATGATTTATACCCACTATATGCAATCCTTTCTCTGCTCTCTTCATTTTTACCCAAGCTCCATATTACTATCACCAAATGAAATCCCCAGTAAGTTCTCCAATATTTAATTTGTCCCTAGATATGACACACTGAAAGAGGATGTTGCAGCTTTGGGAGGGAAGAATGTTTAGAGTTGGTATTTCTCCTTCCAGGATCACCTTGTTCAGTAATTTTTTATTAATATGTGTTTGTAGTACACTATATTTACATTCATCTTAGGGAACAGGTACATGTACTTAACATATCTTAACTCTTTATTTCCCTTCTGTCCTTCCTTCTCCTTCTGTAGCCCCTTCCCATTTGCAAAGAATCTATTTCTCCTAGAATTATCTCTTTTTGCTTTGGAGACTTTAGAACTTATTTCAGTTGCAGAGGTCTAATAAGGTCCCCCTCAAACCCAGTAAACCAGATTTTGGCCCTTGCTGCACACTCTGAGGGCACTGTATACTACCTTAACACAGTGTCTTATTGACGTTATGTGTTTTCTTTCTCCATTAAGGGAAATACAGCAGTTAAACCCAGTAAAGCAGAGGATCCTTGTTTGTCTTTCTTTCCTCCCACTGTGCACTGGCGAGGATAATGTGTGGAACCTACCAACGACCCAATAAACATAAAGTGAATGAGTGAAGGGGAAAAAGGACAGTATAGTTGGAGGCAACATAAAATGCCAAAAATAAAGAGATAAGAAATTGTAAGATGCAGGAATACATCTGGGGAACTGTGTAGTTTAAATATTGAGTATGTAAGGAAAATAGTGGGGAAGATAGGATGAGGTAGTACTAGGGAGGGTTTCAAACAGCAGGTTCAAGTCTGAACTTTAAAAGTGGTGGGAAGCCGGTGAAGATTATAGCGAAAGCACTGAGGGAAACTGCCATTGTATTTGGTAGAATTTATTCATTTCATGGGCAGTTTCCTCTGCCCCTCCCAAATATACTTCCTGCCAAGAAACTGATAATAATCTACAAAGAATTTTATGTGCTATACACCCAGCAAACCACTCAGTTACAAATTTCTTTGGCTGAAGTTGAGTGGCCTACAGAGAACCAATAGAGTTAGAAAACTGAGTTAGCAATGAATCTTGTACATTTTTAACTGAGTATCTGGTACATGGTAACAGTTTTAACTTTCCCTGACTTTGCCTGAGGGTCAGCAGGAAATCATAAAAGATCTTTTACCCTACTTCCTATACTTTCTCGTCCCTGTGTTCCTCCACCTATCATATCCTTTCCTTTCATTCTTGAAAATCTGCCTTAGCCCTACACCTCCTAAATTAATTTCTATTGTTCCCTCCCCATGAGAAATCTTTCCTACTACTGTCTTTCTGGTTTCCAAGATGTTCCTTTTCTGAACTTGTGCTTTGCTTCCTCTAGGTGGGATTCATTGACCACAAGCGAGGGACCCAGCAGGCAAGACTCTTGGCAGACCAGACCAAAGTGTCACTTTTTTGTCTGGAACTACTTTTATGTACTTCCTTGGGGACTTGCAAGAAATGAATGACATAGTGAGAAGATGAAGGGAAATGTCTTCAGTGATTGAGTGTGGAAAACTTGTCCCAAACCTTGGAAGAATATAACGTTTATTTCTTTTTTGCTTCCAATTTCTACTTCCATCTTCCTATTTCTACTGTACTGTGCTTCTCTCTCTCTCTCTCTCTCTCTCTCTCTCTCTCTCTCTCTCTCTCCTTCTACCCTCATCCTTCTCTACCACTTTCTTTGCTAGTAATGGCTGCCTTTTATTCAGATCCTGTAGGGTTAGCCCTGTGTCACTGCTTCTTATTTCTCACAGCACTGTATAAGCTAAATAATCACAACTCTATCCAGCTTTCAGATGAGGCAAATAAAAACACAGATTGAACAATTTATACAAGCTCGGTAGACAGTAGCAGGGATTTGAACTTGTTATCTAACTCCGGTACCCATCTTCTTTAAATCACTGCATGGTTTCTTTCGCCCCATCTCAACTGCTTTGTGTTGTTCCCATGTTCTGATCCTCTTCTCTCCCTATATGGCCTAGGTTTCTTTTCTTTCTCTTAGACACTTAACATAGTTGGTCACTATATGTCTGTGGCTCAATCCGAAAGTGCTGAGCAAAGCATATAATACCCAGAAGAGATGACAGACCGTTCAAATTCTTATCATTTTCCTTGAGATCAAATGATCCACAATTTTTCACATTTGGAGGCTACAGGTGGGAATTCTCATCACTTTTAGTAAAGGAGAAGAAATTTAATAACAAACTAGAGAAAAGCCTCAAGTCTTGGATGGGTCTTTGATATGAAAGAAGCAGAGACAAAACATTTTCAGCTTCCTCAGAGAATTCTTCATTCCCAAGGACTCTGCATGCTCTCAAATACGGGGACCTGGAGACTGGAAAAGGTTAGGTGAGGAGGCTGTCCTCTGTCAAATAGTTAATTTAGGAGCCTAGCAAACTGGACTGTGAAAGGCAGCACCTCTAACCTTTCTTTCCCTATTAGCATATGCAGAGTTCCAATAAGAACAAGGGCATGTTGGAGGCATACATATGGAGGTCAAAGCCTGAACTGGACAATTTTTATGTCCCATCCAAATATGATGTTTTATACTTATGGTTGTCACTCTCCTTTCTGTCATCCTTTTGATTAGGATTGGTTAGAGATTTTAAACCATAAAGATCCATATTGCTCATCAAGTAAGAATTCTGGAGGTAGAAGTCTCAAGAGTTGATTCAGAGGCCTCAGAGGAACTGGTCAGCATTTCTGAGATTTTCTGGGCAGCGTCAGACACCTTGCCTTCTTCCTTGCCTGTCCTCAGGCAGGAAGCCGTGGGAAAGGGAGGAGAACTATGAGTGAGGCTCCCTGCTTACTGGGAGATGGGAAATCTTTTCTAGACCACTTCTTAAAATTTAGATTTTTTCCCATACCTCACTGACCCAAACTAAGTGCATTAGAGACTGGAGAAAGTGCTATCTAACCTTTTCACTGTGCTAAAGGAAGACAGACAAGGAACAGGGAACTGGTTTGTCATTGTGTGGGAAGTATTAGCGCTTCTTACTCCTTCCTTGATTCAACCAAGATTTGTTACTCTGGGCTTCTGACGGCAAAGGAAAAGATAGTCTCTTGTTTCAAAAAGTTCGTGCTGGAAGAACACAGGCAGAGGATTGCAAAGCATGGTAGAAGGCACTGGGAACAGTGAATGAATGCTCCCAGTGTCACTGCAGTAGCCGGAGAGAGAATATGGAGAGCTACAGAAAACAATGATTAAGTGTTGAAAGGTAAATGGAATTCAACTAGGACTGAGAGGGCAGGTAAGAAGTAGTTAGAGGGGCCTTTGAGAATCTGCTAGGACTTAGCATATTGGACAAATGGACTGTTGGATACCTTCTACAGGCAGAAAATTTAGAAAGCCAAGTTGCACCTCTGGAATGCTCTGTTGCACTGAAGCGGGAAGATCAACATTCCTGTGGTTTAGCAGTTGCGGGAGTCAAACACTCATCTGTGACACCTTTAGAGAGCTGAAGCACACTTTTAGCACCTTACAAAACAGCTGGTCCAGCCAGCTGGCACATGCCTGTAATCACAGCACTCGGGAGGCTGAGGCAGGAGAATCATTGTGAGTTCGAGACCAGCCTGAGCTACAAAGTGAGCCCAAGGCCACCCTGAACTGCATAGTGAGAGTCTGTCTCGAAAAGATAAAACAATACAACAGCAAAAACAGCTGGTCTATATTGGATATTTCTGATCAAGACACAGTGCTTCCTTAAAAGCCAAACTTGCCCGTCCCACCTGCACTCCTTTCCCTTCTACCTAGTTACATACCATGGAGGAATTAAATTTTTCACCCAGCAGTTCAAACATATGGAACACTTGTGATACAATTTTCAGCATATCACCTACCTCATCTTTTTCAAGTCTCCAAAACCTCTGATGTAGGTATTCCTTCCATATCCACTTGACAGATGAGGAAACAATGAAGCATATGCTCAGAGTCACATTTGCAAAGTCCAATCCTATATTTCTTTCCACTACTCCAGTGTTTCTTTAACTACAGCTCCCGGACTGTCTGCACCAGAAGCACCTGGACTGCCTGTTGCAAAACCGATTCTTGGAGGCTGCTCCACCCTTCCTGAAGTGGAACCTCAAGGTAAAATTCACATTGTGACACACCACACTAGAGTTCATTAGTGTGGCAGCCAGGCTCTAATTTGGCTTCAAATCCCCTCTTTTTATTTTTCCTGGGGGTGTGGTAAGATAAGCCTTTTCGTACATTTGACTTCTAAACTGCATTTTAAAAAAACATCCCAATGGTATGGATTAATGCCCAAGGCACAATGGGACCTTTCAGACCTTTGGAGAAACTCTTCTTTCTCTCTCCCCTATTTGCAGAAAGCTTGGTGTTAGTTCCCTGGTTGTGCCAAGATGAGTGACTGGAGCTTTCTGGGAGCGTTCCTGGAGGAAGTACACAAGCACTCCACCGTCATTGGCAAGGTCTGGCTCACTATACTGTTCATATTTCGCATGCTAGTGTTGGGCACTGCCGCCGAGTCTTCCTGGGGTGATGAGCAGGCTGATTTTCAGTGCGATACCATGCAGCCCGGTTGCGAGAATGTCTGCTACGATCAAGCCTTCCCCATTTCCCACATTCGCTATTGGGTGCTGCAGATCATATTCGTTTCCACACCATCTCTGGTGTACATGGGCCACGCCATGCACACTGTGCGCATGCAGGAGAAGCGGAAACTACGGGAAGCTGAGAGAGCCAAAGAGATCCACCGTCCTGGGTCTCCATATGAATTCCAGGTGGCTGAGAAACCAGAGCTATCCTGCTGGGAGGAAATGAATGGAAAGGTTGTCCTCCAGGGCAATCTCCTGAATACTTATGTCTGCACCATCTTGATCCGCACTGCCATGGAGGTGGCTTTCATTGTGGGCCAGTACTTCCTCTATGGAATCTTCCTGAACACCTTGCACGTCTGCCGCAGAAGTCCTTGCCCCCACCCCGTCAACTGTTATGTATCCCGGCCTACAGAGAAGAATGTCTTCATTGTCTTTATGCTAGCTGTGGCCGGACTGTCCCTCTTTCTCAGCCTGGCTGAACTCTTTCACCTGGGTTGGAGGATCAGACAGCGATTTGTCAAGTCGAGGCAAGGCACAGCTGAACGACAACTTCTTGGACCATCTACAGGTATAGTCCAGAACTGCACACCTCCCCCAGACTTCACTCAGTGCCTAGGGACTGGCCCTGGGGGAAAGTTTTTTAGTCCCTTCAGTAACAATACAGTCTCCCAGCAGAACACAGACAACCTGGCCACTGAGCAAGTGCGAGGCCAAGAGCGCATTCCTGGGGAGGATTTCATCCATATCCATTATGGTGAGAAGCCTGATGTGCCCAGTGGGGTCTCATCAGGTCACCGCCTTCCCCATGGCTACTATAGTGAAAAGCGCCGTCTTAGCAAGACCAGCAGCAGGGCCAGGTCAGATGACCTATCAGTATGAACCTCCAAAGTGGGAGAACCAGGGCCAAGTGGGAAGAAAGGAGGCTCAGAGAGAGAAGATAATTCCTTCTGACTCTGTGCTCCCATTCTCATCACTGCTTTTCTCCTTTTGGGCTGTGAGTCTCATTTGCATTGCTCATTAATTATAGAAAGTATAACCAGGATGCTTGAGAGTTTAGCCATAATGGCTACCCAGCAGGCTGTTGTCCACTCCTCATCTCAGTATACTTAGTGTAGTCTTTCAGATCATGCATTGAACACAGTAGGGGAAGGGAAGGGAACTGTGGCAAAATCAGGCTGGAAAAGGGTAGCCATAAGCATAGAATACCAGCAGCATATCTGATAATTTCTCAAGTACCTGTGGTTTTCTTGACCTCATCACACCCCCACCTCAAGGAAGAACTCAAAATTCTCAGCAGTAGAGAGCACCAATCAAATAATTTAATTATTTGTGCTCTTGAATCTATTGTTTTCTCCGTTGGGATATATCTTGGAGTGGTGGTGAGGTGGCCTATGGCTGCCATTGGCTACCCTTCCCTCTACCCAGTCTTGAAAGGGGATCCTTGGAACTTGACCAGCCTCAATTTTACAAGTGCTTTGGCATGTGTCTCAGGCAAAGGCTCCACCTTGGTGATGCTGCAGTCTTTTCTTCTGCCAGAATATATATCCTCTCTGTGAGGGTACCGGCTCCTTCAAAGAGTCACTGTTTACACAAACTGCATTGGAATTCATTGCCACCACCTCTCATGCTGTGCCTCCTGAACTGTGTCTTACAGTTCAGCCCAATGATAGAAGCCATCCTTATACTTCTTCTCTTGACTGTTCATCCTCTGTTCATCTGAAGACCACTTTATTAACGGGAATATCCAGGAAGTCCCTATCCCCTTGCAGATCCTGAATAGATAGATCACTAACCACTGAGAGCAGTAGAATTTTCTTGGGACTTACTATGAAAAGAACATTGCCAGATTCCCCTTTGAGGAAAAAGACACTGGAAAAATATTTTCTCCTATTTCTCTTATTGATTGCCAACTTTTAGAATATCAAGAGGAGGCATGATGACAGCTATGGAGGTCCCCAGATCTCAGCAAGAACATGGAAGCAGTAGGGGACTCTTATCAAGATCCTACATAGAGTGCACAGAAACTGCTATATCTCCCTGATCCCCTTAATGAGACTGCCAAGTAGAGGATGCAGAAAAGCTCTTCCTTCCCCATGGACTGGCTAAGGTGTCTCTACTGAGGTGATTGATCTATAATGGGATGGAAGGCTGCCATTGTGAATGCAGGCTAAGGATGCTAAGAATTGGATATTGAGAATATCAGGACATTACATTTAAAAGATGTGTGTGTGTGTGTGTGTGTTTCCATGAGGGGAAGAGGAGTCCCTAAAGAAGAAAAAGAAGCTTTAGAGAATCTATGTCTTCTGGTTGCCTGGAAGAAGACCCAAGCCTCATTGTCTTAGCATTATTAGCCTGAACAAACAGGCATGAGAAGTTGGGACTGAGGAAGGTAAGGGTTCAGAAGACTCAGATCCTCTCTGACCTGCCCCTTTCTGGACCACTCTGCAGCTATTTGGATGGTACTGGTGGATCGAAAGAAGGACTTGAGAGAAGAGATGGGGAAAAAGAACTGGGTGAGATACCATTTAGAAAAGAATGATCATTCCAGTTCCCTGGAGACATTTGCTATCTGGAACTGGCATATGATTCTCTCCTCTTTCATCTCTAAAATGTATTTTTGAAATAATTGTTTTTGAATTCAGATTTCTATGAGTCTTTGATGGTAAGGTTTTCAGGAAGGAAAAAATGAAATGATATGTGTAGTCTGTCTTAATAAAATCTGTCTCATTTATCTCTGTTGTGTGATTTTCATACTGTGACTATAAGAGAAGCATGACAGATGTGATGGGGGAGTGTTGAGCTTGGAATCAAACATACAGGTGCTAACATTTTTGATGTTGATTTATATCTTCAGCAAGCTACTTCATAACTGGGACTTTGTTTTCTCATCTGTAATTTGGGCCTAGTAGAATCTAGCTCATAGAATTGTTAAATGAGAGATTGCTTATAAAGAATGCAAGTCTGGTATGGTGAGGCACACCTATAATTCCAGCACTCAGGAGGCTAAAGCAGGAGGATCACTGCAGGTTTAAGGCTAATTTGGGCTACATAAGCATAGTGAATTCAAAGTGAGCCTGAAGTACACACTGAGACCCTGACCCAAAAACCTGAAAAAAAATTTAGAAGAGTGATTGGGTTATAATAGTCCATCATTAAATAGTAATTGTTATTATCTTTATTGTTTTTGCTATTACTTTGAACACACAGTATTTGAAAACCTGGAATGTTGAAGAATGACTCCAGAATTTTCCCTTCTGAAACTCACAATTTCATTCATCTAAAGTGATCAAATTAACACACATGAAAAGAAACAATTAACATAGAATTAAATATAAATTAATTTATTATCAATTATTAGAACCATAAGCCTCCAGGAAGTGACAGAAATGGAAAAATAAAGGCCTGACTTGGACCTTACTGTGTGGCTAAGGCTGTAAGAAGCAGAGAGCTCCAAGATGATTCTGTGAAATTGGTCCCCATTTTATAGTCCTGGGGAGCTGAGTCCCTGAAGGCTCTCCAACAGTGATGCATCCTCTTCCCAGCCTTTCTGATTGCAATCACATCTCTTTGAAAGAGGAGAAATGATTCTTGCTCCATTCAAACAACCACTTAGCCCTTCATCAATAAGTAGGATCCAGTTTTAAAAGAAGCACAGGTTTAAAAAAACCCCAGAAATTTTTAATAGGGCAGAAAAGCTCTGCTGAAGTAGTCTTGCAGGAAGCATCCGTGTTGAGATTCAGATGTGTACCTGGCACCCGTTCAAGGGTAAGGTGCTCAGCCAGAGGTTTTTGAGTAGTTCAACTGTAAAAAAACTGGTATTAATTTTTTCTCCTAGAAAAAAGTGTATGCTACATCTCCTAGTTTTATAAACATAGTTCTAACATTTAATAGTATATGCTCAGACTGCAAAAGCCAGAGGGACTTAATTTATAGTAAGATTTAAAACTTGTGCATTTCTACTCTCTCATTTTCTCTACCCTCCCCACATGATCATCACTAAAGATCATAAGCGCATTGATAATGCAATGAACACACCCTGAATTTCAAGCCCTTTCAGGTTTATATTTATTTCTTTCCTCTAGTGGTAGGTAAGAACAGAATTTCTACCAGTAGTTTCATTCCAATAGCTAAAGAGTCTTAAGTTGTCAAATGCTAAGAAAATGCCTATGAAAAATGAAGTTTGGATTTTTTCCTCTAACCTCAATTTTGATAGCTGAGAGACAAACTCAAGCACTAGACACTTTGCAGGTTGTCTGAAGGACTTTTTTCATGATGTGTAAGTGAGGAAAATGGTGAGGCTTGAAGAGGTTCTCAAGAATAATCCACCACTTTCCAGGAGAACCCAGCAGATCCTGAAATCCTGTTATGTCATGTCATGAAGGACATGACAATAAAAATTTTTCAAATGATAAATAAATAGAATAGGGTTCTTGTTTTCTCCTATTGTTAGAGAGCCAATTGTCATCAGAGATGGGTAGATTTTTATCATTACCTCACCTGAAAAAGAACATTTTTCATTCAACAAATATTTATTGAAAAGTCATTTTGAATTGGGCATCATGATAGACTTTTGGAATAGAATTTTATAAACCAATCATAGTTCCTTCCTTTCCAGTTTACTGTCTAGTGGGAAGGCCTTCCCATGCAAGTAAAGAAGTCACATAATTACCAGGGAGGGAAGGTCCTTCTGCAAACAGCATGACACTTTTTCAAGAGATAACACTGATACAGATCTGACAGGTGTGAAGCCAGCCACTGTAAGCAGGGGAAGAATCCAAAGTGGAGAATCCAAATTGCTTCCAGGAAACTCCAGAATACAGCTCTTATCTCAATTTGCCCTTATAGTTTTAAACTGTTGCAAATCCTTTTTGTGCCTTTTTCTGCAAAAACTTCAGGGGACAGAACTTTTCATTCAAAGAAGCAGGATAATTTATAAAAGGTCTGTGTTTAAACAAGTAAACTGGAGATTTAGTCTGTGTCGCCTGCCTGTCAAGCATGAGGTCATGAGTTTGATCCCAGGTCCAAAAAAAAAAAAAAAAAACCAAACAAACAAACAAACAAAAAAAACCCCAACCAACCAACCAAACAAACAAAACAAAAAACAAGTAAATATCAGATGTTAAGTTGGAAAATGCCTTAATGTTGCAGCTACCAGTATGGAATCTTTTAACACAATTCTATGCTCAGCCCATTTCCTGGGATAGGATGGGAAAGGGAGGCAGGGTAGCTCACGGACCCAGAAAAGAGTCTGGGATGATAGGGAAAAGACTGTATCCAAGGGATCTAAGAAAGAACAAGCAAGGTGTGGTCCAGAGTGGCCTTGACATCAGAGAAGTCAGAGAAACAAGTACACAGAGACAGGTAGTACAGAAGGTGGAGGGGCACATGAGCAGGAAGCCAGGCCACAGAGCTCTGTGAGACACCAGGCAGGGAGGCACACCGCAGAGCCGTCAGTAGGACCAGTCTTTGAATCTTCTGGGCTTAGGAAGGAGGCAGATGCAGGCAAAGTCAAGCTTCATTCTAGGGGCTGGGTTACCATGCAAAGCACCAGGACAGAGTCTTGCACACATTTCAAGGTGGGGTCCCACTGAATTACAATGAGATGTAGATGAATAAAGCTACTTCCACTAATATATATGATTTTTACAAGTACACTTAAGGCCTTAAAACAAAGGAATACCATTAAGTGAGAGCCCCAATCATCTCATCAAGACACTGTGGTAGGTAGGGAGATCATTTTTGATGTGGGACTGAATACTACTCTGCAGTCATTGGAAGCCAGCAAACTATCTCCTTCGTGCTGACACTGGGAAGGCCATGGTTTGGAAGAAAGACTCAAGACCCCTCAATCCCTCCAACATAGTTGAGTTTTCCATCTCCCTGATTCAAGATGCTTTTGGGACTGGATACATTTACCTGCTCACACACATTTTCTTGGAGTAAAAGACTCAAGAAGGTAGTTATTGCCTACTTTCATTGTGGAGAATGTTCACCCCCACATGAGTGAGACAGGGCAATAGGGTGAGAGACACTCCCAAAGTGGGGGACACACTCCTTTCCCCCCTCAATTTTTTTTATTAGTATATGTTTGCAGAACAGCCTTCTAGAACTGTTCATTGCCCTAAGCTCTGCATCCTGGCCAAGGCTAAAATCCCCTCTGGCATCAGCTGCAGTTCAATAAAGGGGAGATTCTGGACAGGGAGAGAAGATATTTTATGGTTTCCTGGTTTTTTTTTTTTTCTTAAAATAGGATGAAATATAACCTGGAGTGGTTGAAGTTTACAAATGTTTAAAATTGCAGATTCAGAAACCAATATAAAAACCTGAATAGGGTAACAGATGCCTGAGAAAAGTCAATTTTCAAAATTCACTATTTTAATAATAATAACCAAATCAGAGCTGTTGAGTGCTCACTATTTCCTATGTATTGGGCTAGGAGATTTTAATGAATTATCATATCATCCTTACAAATCCAGTTAAGTCACTGACTCTGTTTTATAGATGAGGAAAATGAGATATAAGAAATATTCAATAACTTAAACAACTAGTAAGTAGTAGGGCCAGCCCTTATTGCTCTGCTTACATTATGCCTCTACTAAATGCATATTATATATTCTTAAGTAAAAGGAAAGATTCACAATTGTATGTACAATATGATTATGGTATATAAAAGTATGAATTTATAAGAACAAGGACTTGCAAGAAACAAACAAAAATAAAAGCAATGTGCCTGTTTGATGGCTGCTGGAGATGCTCTCATTCTCTTTGTGAACTATCTTCATGGTATCATGTTATTTTTAAAATTAAAAATTTAAAAAGATATTTATATTCAAGCTTTGGGCTAAATTTGGTGTCCCCCTGGGGTGGCTGCCAGGAGCTGCCTCTCTATTTCTGCAGAACTCATGCTTGGGAAAAATTTTCTTTCCTTGGGCTCTGACTGCCACCCTTAAATGGAATAAAGTTAGCAGGAGGCACCCATTTCAGGTCCAGACTGCTGACTGGGACAGTGAGCGGCTGCCAGCTGTTTCCTCTGGAAATGGAGAGGAACTGGCGTGAGTGTGGGAAGCATGAGATTCTGCCCGCCTTCACTGAGGAGAATGTCCACCCCACGAGTGAGACAGGGCAATGGGCGAGACACTCGCAGAGGGAGGGACACACTCCTTTCCCCTCCGATTGTTTTTATTAGTACATGTTTGCAGAGCATAATGATTACATTCCTTGTGTGGAGTTTGCACATGTGTACAACACATTTTAATTCTTTTTCATCCATTTCTCTTCCCTTCTCTTCCTTTTTGCTCTATGTCTTGATCCTTTTCCCTTTTGCAAAAGGTCTATCTCTTTATTTCATCTTATCTAAATTTTATTTTGCTCTTTATTTATATTTTAGGTCTTATATAAGAGAAATTACACAATATTTAAGTTTATGGATCTGATTAATTTCCACTTACCATTATGGCCTCAAGGTGCATCCATTTTCCCACAAATGACTTGTTTATCTTTCTTTATGGCAGAGTAGTACTCCACTGTGTGTAAGTACCACATTTTCTTTATCCATTCACCTGTTGATGGGCATATAGATCACATCCAAGATTTATTTGAATTGTGCAGTATAAACATGGGTATGCATATATTACTGTAATACGTTGTCTTCAGTTCTTTCAGGAAGATTCCTATAAAGGGAATAGCTAATCCAACTGAAATTTCTGGTTTTAGGTTTTTTTTTTTTTTTTT